TTATGCATTGTTCAGTAATTTGATTAATTAATATGAATCATGGGTTGTTGATAATCAAGTTAATTGCTTGATTATCAGTTAATGCAAGGACAAGGACTCTTTCTTCTTTTAAATTGGATATAATTTTATTATAGTCTCCATAAATGTTCAGTGTTGGGGCGGTGGCGCTATTAGTACAGATTTAAATGTAGTGCACTATAAGGCAAAAACAAAAGAAATCAAATCAGAAACATAAATAGCTTTTATAACTGTCCTCTATGATTTATTTTCTTTTTAATTCATCATAACAATTTGTAAGGCATTAAGTACAAAAGCATTAAAAACAATATAAAAGTGTTTGAAAATGATGCCTGACTATAATGTTCAACACTTCCAAGTAAAATGCAGAACTATAATTTATGTTTTCATTGCAAACATTTTATCATAGCCTTTTTCAGGTTAAAGGATAGAAGATACTTTTTAAAAGGCTCAATATCTTCTTTGGGATTAGGCCCGAGAAATTAAAGATGAAACTCTGTAAGTTAAATGTCCCATTGTCATTCATCAACATGTTATCATGTTATTGTGTTATGTTGATAACATGTTATGTTATCAATATGTTATTGACATATTTTTTCAAATTAATATTTTAATGGAATAAGCAAGTAGTTCATAACTAGCTTCACCAGTATAAGAAAAATGGTATCATGGAAAAGTGGCAGAGACTACACCCATTATAAATAATCTTAGCAATAATTTTCTTTGAGAGATAGGACAGGGCTTTTCAACCTTTTCACCCATTGTACTACTTTTAGGATATGGCAACATCCGAGTACCACCAGTCGCCTAGCAAGGTGTCAAAAACTTAACCAAAAAAAAAAGGAAAAAAGTGATAAAATACAGGTTCGTTTAGTGACTGTTCGAAGTTACAATGGCACTGAAGAAAGTGCCCTCCAAGCCACAGCTGAGCAAGACAGCACCCAGTGGCACTCTTCCTCCGGTCCAAGGTTTTCATTGTTGTGAGCATTTCTGTTGAAGATTGGCAGCGGGGGTGGGTTGGGGGGTATTTGGTTTTTATTCTCCCAGTCTGCTGGGTGGTTGCAGCAGGTTTTGGTCACTTCACATGACGATGGGACACCGTGATCGTCATAAATATGAATCAGTTGCCAAGCATCTGAATGTAAATATAAGACCCTGGAGATGATGCAACATTCCAGCTGATCACTGCTTCTTCTGGGCTCAGCAAAAGTGCCAGGATCAGTGCTGCTTTCCAGCTGATTGGTGCTTTTTCAGGGCTCAGCAGATGCACCAGGATCAGCGCCAAGCTCCAGTTGGAGCCTGGCGCTGATCCTGGCACTTCCATTGAGCCCTGACAGCCCTGCAGCTCCAGCCATCTCTCGCAGGCTTGTGCAGTGCTGCCACCGGTTCAGCTCATTCCCCTCCCCCACTACCACTTTTCTAGGATGGTCGCGTACCACCTGCCAGGTGCCAATGTACCACAGGTGGTACCCGTACCACTGGTTGAAAAGCCCTGAGATAGGAGATTGATATAATTGCTGAAATTGAGCAGATTTTCTTTTATGCAGATCAATCATTTTGGATGAAAAGATTAGAAAGTCAGGTGTAAAACAAAAGTCTAAGCCTGTTTCTATCATATTTACATAATTTCACATAGAGAAGCATTGAAGTATGAAGTAAAAAATAAATGTGTTGAATTCCTTAAAAAAAGTATATTACTTAAAATGAATTACCACTCAAGCTCCATCTCAGCTATAAAGTTGCTTAACAGTTTATGAAATACATGTGCCTTCTGAGAAGAAAAAAGGAGTATTGATTTGCTGAATAGGAAGTAGAAGATTCATGACTATTACAGCCTATTTGCTTATTTTATGCAAAATAATTCAGAAAAACTGCATCTTCTGTGGCATGCAGGTTTCTATGGTGGTTCATTTGAAGACATCACAGATAAAAATAATACATCCAACTACTTTGCTCTACATAGTACATAACCTGACTGGATTCCACCTATTCTCTAATAACATTTCTACTCAGAGTTTTGGACTTCATAAATTCTCAGTGTTGCTTGATACACAAGACTTGTTAATGATAGTATATAGAGTTAGACCAACAATCAATAGCTTAAATTTGTGCCTTTTACTACGTACACCTTGCAAGGTGAGATGGGCTACAAATAAAAGTAACAAATACATAAATAAAATATTAAGGGATAATTTTCATCTTATCTTACTTATTGCACAATTCCTACACAGGTATTGGTACATTTGGACCATAACATATGCCATGATAACGGGAGAAGATTTCTAATCAACGTTTAATATTTCTGCTAAAGTTTTATATAAAGAGATAGAAAAAATTGTTGCCCAAGGCTCCAGGGAAGTATAGTTAATTACTGATTGAATAATCCAATTATCCAATTTATAGAAACACCCATCAACTACAGAATTTTCATTTTATTAGCAATCCTCAATCCTCATCATTATCAATTCAGTACTATTACACAGTCAGAAAAGGAGAGAAAGAAGAAATGGAAGTAAAGAAAATGTGTATTTAATGATAGAAGTCTGAGACTGTTCACACATAGGATACTTTCTGGAATTGTTAATGAATCCACTACTCATGTGGAATAATTTAGTGATTTGTTATGATTTCTTTTTCAATACTTTAACTGGATAATGCTATTATAATATATTTTAAGTCCATCTAGAGGGAAACATAGCAGCTCACTTGGCTACTATCACCTTAGTCATAGTTCCACCAGTGATGCAGGGAGTAGGAGTAGGAAGAAGAAGAAGAAGAAGAAGAAGAAGAAGAAGAAGAAGAAGAAGAAGAAGAAGAAGAAGAAGAAGAAGAAGAAGAAGAAGAAGAAGAAGAAGAAGAAGAAGAAGAAGAAGAAGAAGAAGAAGAAGAAGAAGAAGAAGAAGAAGAAGAAGAAGAAGAAGAAGAAGAAGAAGAAGAAGAAGAAGAAGAAGAAGAAGAAGAAGAAGAAGAAGAAGAAGAAGAAGAAGAAGAAGAAGAATCTATGGGAATGTTGAAGGGATGAATGAATAATTATGGGAGGAAAGGTTCAAAACAAATTCCCAGAAAGAGGAACACATGAGAAAGAAACCCAAAATGACTCTGCTTTGATTTTGTTTGACACAACATGTAATAGAAAGAAAATTTGACAGGCTTTCAGGATTCTCTAATTATATCCTACAACAACAACAAAAAGTATTCCCCAAGCTTCTGAGACTCCTGTTTCCTGGTTTTACTGACTTCAAAGGGCTGGCAAACATTACTCCAAATTTTGTTCCATTTTCTTTCCCCAAAAAAAACCTTGCAAAATGATGTTCCATATTTCTTTGGAGTTCCATATTACTCAGTAGAGTTATTTAACTTTCAGTTTCACATGCATATATGACTTCACCTTAATAATTCTCAAATGATAATTGACCATTTGGTTGGCTGCTACAGGAAGATCACACAAACTGATCAACAGTAGCAACTGATTGCCTGAAAAAGTAGCAACAATGGTGCATTGAAAATCCACAAGTATTACTACTTACCTGCATTGGTGAGACCACAAAATAAACAAAACAATAGAAAACAAAGAAGCTAAAGTGTTCCTGGACTTTAGAATTCAAACTGACAAACAGCTGTCTTACATCCAGACTTAACAATTGTCAATAAGAAAGACAAAAAAAGTCTGAATAGTGGACATTTAATATCTGGGGACAGCAGAATAGAAGAGAAAGAACTAGAAAAAGTCAGAAAATAAAAAGACTTTCACATAGAAGTAGAATGACTTTCTCAAAAGAAAACAAAGATAGTACCAATAGAAATAGGTCCCATGGGTGCAATTCCAAAGCATCTGAGCACCATTTGAACACCAACGGTATTGGCAAAATCACCATCAGTCCATGGCAAAAGACAGTTTTACTAAGGACAGCTTACATCCTATGATAACAATATTATTAAGCCATAACATCACTGATCCTTGTGAGGGACTCAGTAGGTAGACAAAAGGGTCAAATCCAATCTAAACAGCTGGCTGACTATGCAACCAACCATAAGGAATATGGAATCTAAGGCATTTGGAGGGGATAGGTTTTAGGAAGATTAATCTACATTATCTCTATCAATAGCCCAAATCAGATATTAGTAAAAAGGTGCAACTCACTATGTGCATAGCATTGACCAGTGAACACGTAGAGGCATACATGTGAAGACTTTCCATGGGCTATAGTTCTAAAAACCTAATATTCAGGGTTGTGTAGAAGACTTTGCAGCTATAGTTCTCAAGATGAAACTACAGACAACTTTGCTGTTCTCTTGGAGACTGGCTCTTTCTGACATTGCCAGCATGATTTTACAGAGGAAATCTCTGACTCATGTGGTAAGTTACACATTTCTTCATAACACGTAAACAGAATTCCTGATTTTGCCCTTTTAGAAGTGTGATGGAATGAAGCCTATATAGACCTGGCTAACATTAAACCATAATGTTCTCAGCAAAATATGTCAACCAATACCTTATGACTTAGTTTTATGTGCAACCCAGCCTAGCAAAGCATAGTCAAGAAACTATGGTTTAAGAAATTCTGACTCCATGTGAAATGTGAAACTGCACAATGTTCTACATGTTTTTATGCTAGTCTTCTGTTACAGTGACTATGAACATTGAAGATATTTATTAAAAGAAGTACTCTAATATTATTCCATTATTCACAATAGACATTTTTTAGAAATTTGCTTTATCTGATTGATTTGCATAGCTTGTTAATAAATCAAAATACAGCTGAAATAAGTCTTGCAAAGGCAAAAAATATATCCAGCATTGCCTGTAAAATTAGACCACAATATGCTATTTCCCTTTTTTAAAAAATGTTAATGATAACTCTCCATGTCTGATGTTTTATACATTACATTGTTATTATATATTTATGCATTGCTATGATTGCATGGCCTAAATAGATTCAGCTGTGCATATATATGGAAATAGACCTTAACAGATTTCACAGATATTTAAAGCCGATCCTCACTCATGCTGGCCCACCACTTACTACCACTTTACCAGAATGGTGTAATCCTGTAGCCAGGTTGCTGACTAGCCCTAGAGCTTATGAGGTAAGTATACAATTTCAAGTGCACAATGTTTCAATATTTTTGACAGGATGTATTATACAGCTTTCACTATATGTGGTGTTGATACCTAGAGTTTTGTCATCCAATTAATATAATATGGGATGTTTCCTCTATCATCCTCCCAATTAAAAGGTTTAGTTTTGATTCTGGATTTTCTGGTCACCTTGCATAACAAAATTGATATTCAATCTGAGCTAGAAGGGACATTCAGAATGGAAATTTATTAAGAAACATATAAAGTAACTCTATTTCATTATTGTACGATTAATGTTTGCTTCAAATCAAGCTCAGCACTTGATAACTTTAGAAATACTGTTTTGAACCCTAGGCACTTTCAGTAGCGTATCATTTTGAAAATAATGTCAAAAACAGCTGACAGCCATGGAGATGAATGTTCAATGTAATAGAAAAGCTTGCAACCAGTACCATCTTATTGCAGCTTGTTTCTATCAGCAGTTTTTAGAGATGTTTTTAAACATGGGTTAAATATTTTTTTGAAAAACAAGGTTGGCTGAAGAATCTAGCATGAGTACTTTTTACCTGCCAAGCCTTAAACCATACCTGATTTGTGGAATGAGTTTGGAGTTTTGTAAAGTAGGAACCATCCTTGTCCAACCTGGGAAACCTTGCAGGTCATCAGCTGGGGAGGGCTACCCAGTGAAGTAGGGTATTCCTAATTTATGGAATATTCTGTCTTCCACTCCATCAATTAGTACAGCCTCAATGAGACATGTATTTTATAATAACAGTATATATAGAGTTCCTGATTTACAAACTTCTCTATTTACTTCAGTAAGAAAGGCAGCTTGATTTGCCCATATCTCCAACCATTGGAGATTCAACATTGTGAAATCATTAGTTAGATCCCTTGTATGCAGAAGTTCCCCTTCTACTTCTACTACTTCAATAAGGGCAACATTTTTCCGTCAACAGCCATATTGTCCCCAGAATAATCTCTGGAAAGCACATGTTGAATATAAGTAGCAGAGATGGCCAGAATCAAACTAAATTTTGTTACATGACACCTCTTTGTCTTCCTCTATCTCTCCATGTTATTAGCTATCTTTATCTGGCAGTATTTCTCTATCTTTCTCTTTTCCAAGCAATACATTATGTGGAAAGAACATCAAGTTTTTAGAGACAAATAATCTTATAGGGATCTTTTCAAATTAGACTCAGAGATGGAATCACTGATCTCTACACATCTCTGATCGGTATAGATAGATACATGTGTGCATTGCTTCTTCAGGGACAAGAAGGTCCTAGCTTCAGGAGACAATTCATAAAAATTGTCACTTGATAGTGAGATACATGCAATGTAAATTTAATAAAAAAATAAATGCATATACATTTATATGAAGTAAATATTAATTACTTTCTAAATAACATTAAAATTCTATGTTCTGTTATAAACTTAAGAAATAGGGATATCTATTTAATATAGGATTGCTTCACATTTGTGTCATTAATAAGCAAACATTTTCTTTTGTTTTTCTATTCTTTATCACAAAAATGCCTAGGAACAACTGAAGGACGAAGATGGGGAATTTATTGTCAATAATGATGAACTGACCCTGAATTATGATGCTTCAGACCACTTTCCTGTGCCAACCCAGAACAGAACAGAGTCATCTCATCCTGCTGGTAAAGAAAACATCTATGATGGTGACCTTGGCTTAGGAGGATATGAACTCCACTCCAAACCTGCTTCCGGTCAATCTGAGTTTGCTTCTTCAGCCTGATGTCCATTAAAAAATATATGCCACAAATATCAGAAGCAGGAGAAAAGTACATTTATTTCGCAGAATTAATAAGAAGAACATAAACAGAAAAGAAGTAAGACCTTGTTGAATCTCTCCCTAGAGTTGGGATGAATGAGAATTTTTAATAATTCATAAACATTCTATTACTACACTTAATTTTTTTTCTTATAGTGGCCATTTTAACAATGAAATCAAAGGCATTATCTATCTATTACTCGGACATTACATGCGTCCTTGTAGGCTGTGTATCATGCTTGTTTGCACATGCACAAAGTCTTTTGGATTTTTTTTTCTAATCATTCAGGAAGAGACAGAATGAGAATTCAGTAAACTAGTTAATACATGCTTCCAAAATCACATATATATCAGTACCGTTTCTCTCTTCTCATGGAGAGCCTTTTGCGATAAGATGGAAACTTCTGGGCTACAAGCCATCATTTGCCTCCTTCTAGCAAGTGGCAAAATAATCTTTTTATACTGTATGGTAATCTGGTAGCAAGTGGCCCACCAAAACTGCTTGTTAATATTTGAGCAGCTAAAACTTAAACATATCAAGAACAGATACTTTAATTTTACCATAATAGAGCATGACTGCTAGTATAAATAGCAATTTTGCTCCATCTTCCAATCCATTTGCTGTCACTCCTATGCAACAGATTCACAATGCAAATGCTATATGCTGACTTTCTTCAGATTTCCTGATATTCTGTGCTCATACCTAAAATCTGCAGGACAGAGAACATGAGTATCACATTCAAGACTTCTAAAATAATGTCTGCTATATTTCTGCTTATTTCTTATACAATAAGAAATGAGAGAGAGAACATACTTTGTATGTTTATACAGAGGGAAAATGTTGGCTGAATCTTCCATTATAAACACAAGTACATACAGTATCAGAAAAGTTGATGACAGCCCTCTAATTTTTTTCCCTGAAGGCAGTGCTCTGTATCTTTATAGATTAGAGACGGATCTCTTGAAAAGCTCCATTTATAAACAGAATTTCCTGGTTGCACTTGCAACTCCTTTCATATCCAAATAAAACTGCCTTATACTTAGCCCATTTGGTCCATCTACTCCAGTTGCTTCTTTAACTGCCAGGGGTTCTCCAGTGTTTTAGTCCTGCCTAGAAACTGATTGAAAGTGAAATATTTTGCATGTAATGTATATTTTATTCCTGAGTTTCAGCCTTCTGCAGCCATCCATGACCACACCACATTTCCATCTTAATGCTCAGTATAGTGTTGCACTTAGCATATCTTCTGGGTTATTTAGCTATCCTCATGCAGTTTGATGGGGGGGATTACTTTTTGCAATTCCAGTAAATGTTCATGGGTAGGTGAGATAGGATTCTTGCACATATTTTAGTGGTGTGGTGGCTGAAATGAAGGTGTGAGAATTCTTATTTCTCCTTGTATGCTTATCTCTCCAACAAGACTTTTTCAGATTAATAAGCGTGAGAACCAAGGAAGTTGCAAAATGATGAGATGTCTACCAGAAAGCAACACCATCAACCACTTCATAATAGTAAATTAAGCTCAAAAAACTGCCTGAACAATTCCAACCTATAGTTAGAATGAAATGGAAAAGTAAACATCACCTTGACAGAAAAATAAATCTTTCTGAATATTGACAAATCAATTTTGACACAGTATTAACTCAGTATCTGCTAAAATAGGAAATGTTTGCAGAATTACAGAAGTCTGTAAAAAAAATTTAGGAAGAACTGCTGGTCAGTGCATCAAGGTTTCCATTGTTTGAATCTTGGAAGTATGTGATTTGTTGCCATCCAAGGGCTACTACTATTTCTGTCCTTCCACTTAAAAAGAAAGATTATAACAAATCAAGTATTGCGTTGTTCTGTTTCTGTTTCATACAGCATATTTATTCAGGTTCTTCAAAACTCATGTTTCAAATATATTTTACAAAACCAGAAGCCAAGGATATGTAGAGAGTTGAGAGATGCCAAGAATCCATGTAAATTATGGCCTTCATCCTTCATACTGTATGTCACCTTTAAGATTTTTGATCATATGCATGACTTTAGAAAGATGAGGACAATTGCCTCTTTGCAACTATATTCTGAATATTTTAATGTGAAGTATTTTTAGGCTAAATGGTATGATTGGAACTGACCTCATGTACTGGTTTCTGTGCCTCAAACACTGCTGCTTCCATAACAATTTCTCGTAAATTATGAGAAATTGTTTCTGCTTTTATTCAATATTAACACATGGATTCTTCAGCACTTACACACCAACTGCCATGAAGCCTTTGACATTCTTGCACTGAATACCGCAAATTCATGCCAAAGAGGTATGTATTTACATATCCATCTCCATGGAAACCACCTTGTCCATTGTCACATATCTAAAAGGAGAAAAAGGCAACGTTATAGCAAACAGGGCTTAAAATCTCATAGGATTGCACAGTTAAATGGTGCACCTGCTTTCTAGCATAGAGTATGACATGTCTAGCTTTTGCATAAATTGCCTAAATACTGCATATAGTTTTGGGAATGAACTTGAAATTAATTATTACAGCACATAAGATTCTCTCCCTAAAATAGTCTCTAGCTCAGTGTTTTGCAACTTTAAGATGTGTGGACTTCAACTACCAGAATTCTCCAGCCAGCATGCTAGCTGAGGAACTCTGAAGTCCATGCATCTTATAGTTGCCAAGACGGAGAAACAGTGAGCTAGCTACTACTTAATAATAGTGATCTCACACACTTTTTAGCCTATCCCAAGAAACAGCAACTGAAATCTGTGAACTGAAGGATAAATAACTCTATAGTTGAATTTTTTTATCTATCTGGCCTCCTGTTTATTCAGTTTGTCTACTGAAAGTTAAAATAGTGAGGACATAAATTCAAGCAGAAAGTCAGCATGTTCAAGTATCAAACTCATCTATAGTTTTTCACACTTTGAATGGTAAATTTTGACAAATTCAATATCACAAAGTTCATTAGAGATAAGATTACATGCAGGATATTTATAGGATGGGGCTTGCAAGAATGTCCTTGTCACATGTTTAACCCTCGTATTGCATAACGCATTTCCACAGAGGCTCTATCTCATCTAAGGCACAGAGCATGAAGTTCCTGATTAAGCAGGTGTGAAAAAGTTTTTGTTGCTTGTGCCAAGTATTAAAGTTTATGGAACCAAAGCTCCCAACTTTAGAAATAATCAGTAGGACTAAATGCCAAGACTTCTTAGTAAAACAGTGAATGGTTGTAAAATGCAATAAATTTTGGTTCCATCATAGATGAAAATGACAACAAAAACTTATATGTAATCAAGTTTTAACCTTGCTGTTTCAATCTTGCTGTACTATCACATTTAATCAATTGCCAGTTGAATGCAATAGTACAGCAATCATGTTAATCATAAATTGAAAGCAGGAATCCTAAGATCAAAACTGAAATGTGTTTTATTTAATTTTCTTTGAAAAACATGAATCAGACTCTTTAATGGAGCTTATTTCCCACAATGAAAAATATATTTTTACTATTCTGATAATTAATCCTAATGAAAAAGTCTGTTCTCTATTCACCACTTTCTGGACTATACCTGACTGTTTTGACAGAAGCAGCAAGAAAAGAAATGAAGCAGTTTATATGTCAGAATGCTTATGGAACTTAAGGCCACAAGAATAAGAAGAGTCTGCTTCCTGGGTGCTTCAGGAAAGGAAGCAATGTTTATATCATATAATAAATAAATGAACAGATGAACTATCTTGCCCCAAAACTGCAGGTCAATACAGAATTCTTTTAACATGTACAATTAAAAGTTCAAACATACCTCAATACACGGGTTGTATCTCAATATAAAAATTAAGAATGATTGCATTATGTTTTGTTGTGTACAAGTTGCAAACATCATGCAAAGAGCATTATGTTAGATACATTTTATGGATAATTCCATAATCAAAAGAGAACTATATTAGGCTGAAATGTTCCAAATTTTGTTAAATTTGATGCAATTAATTGAACAGAATGAAACAGTATTTCTCTTGCCCAGGATTTTCTATCTTTATCTCAAATAAATTTTGCATAGCTCCTCCAATTTTTAACAAGAACTACAAGTACTCAAACTCATATTCTGTCCTAACTCCCATTACACTACTTGACTTTCCCCCTTTATAGCCATAATAACCCAGAATAACCTTAAGAGGCATTATTTGGATAGATGCAGAGAGAGAAAGAGGGAGAGAAAGATCTTAATATCAGTCCAAAGCATTCTATTGTAAGATAAATGACTCATCTCTAAAGATTTTGCATTATAATCTACCATACTGGTCAAGTGCATGTTGATAGATCCTTTTCAACTTTGCAATCTATGGCTGAGAGAGAATGACTGGCCTAAAGTCACTCAGATGGTTTCAATTTCTAAGAAAGAAACTTTATCTGGGTCTCCTACTGCTAATCCAACATCATAATCACTATATTGTAAGGGTTTTTTCTTTAAATTTTCTCCCTGTACCAATGTAAATAATGAGTGGATTCCTTAAAAGTGCAACATCTTTTTTTAAGTTTGGGTGGAAGCCTGAAAAATATCAGGGTTTTTTTAATGAATAGTAGGGAAATGTTCCATTAGTGCAAGATCCAAGTACTTTTTAAAATTAGTTTTGAAGCACATACAGCTACATTTGACAATGAAATTATATACTAGTGGACCATAATGGATGAATTTTGCTTTTTTTAACTATTACAGTATTAGTCATTTCAATAGTAGGAATTCATAGCACTTTATAGTATCTTCCAACTGTCACTACAGCAATATATCACCAATGAATACAGGTTTTACATGGTCATACCAAATAGCCTGGTAACATCTTAAGATCTATAAATCACCAGTGTGGAAATTGACATTACATATCAGGTTTCTACAATTAGGTGGTTCCAGATATGTTAGGCTACAGCTTCTAAAATTCAAAAACTTTAAGGAAAGCTATTTATGAATCCTAATTTTGATTTCAGATCTCAGTGCAGTGCATCAACAAGTAAAAATAAACACTTTCAATGGCCTTCTGAGTGACTCCGGTTTTTTTCCTCTCTGTGCGAATAGAATAGAATAGAATAGAATAGAATAGAATAGAATAGAATAGAATAGAATAGAATAGAATAGAATTCTTTATTGGCCATGTGTAGTTGGACACACAAAGAATTTGTTTCCAGTGCATAAGCTCTCGGTGTACATAAAAGTAATAGTGATAATCATGATCAGATACAACATGAAAATACATTAATCATAAACCATGAAATACAACATATTTATTTATTTATATTTATTATATTTATATTTATTATATTTATGCATCATTTTCCATGGACCCAACACATACAGATTTTCAGTAGGAAAATGCAAGACCAATGAAAGGATGCTACAGGTAATCTTTGATTTACAATTATTCAAAGTTACAACAGCACTGAGAAAAGTAGCATAATCATTTTTCACATTTACAACTGTTGCAACCTCCTAATTGTTGTGTCCTAAGCCTACAAAAGTAGGCTCGGGACATTGCTATGGTCCTGGGGTTTCTGCAAGCTGCCCGGGACCAGACTGAGAGGCGCCAGCCTTGCGCGCATGCACGAGGTGCGAAAGCGCACCATTAACTGTTTCTGTTTTGCCGGGGATCTGAACACTAAAAAGGAGGCCTGCAAGCCTCGCTGTTGTTGTTGGAGTGAGCAGAAGGAGAAATAAATAGCTATTGATTCTACCATGTGTGATCTTCATTCGCCATCGAACGAAGGACTTAACATTGGCGATGAAGGTGGGATGCTTACAGGCTTAAAAGAAAAAAAGCTGTAAGACTTACCCAAGGAGTCCTGAAGAAGGGAAGACAGCGTTAAACTCAGCGTTCTAGCCTGCCAGTACAACGTCGCTGGAGGTAAGCACAGCTGATAGACCCCTTCCCAAAAGAAGCAAGGATGGCGAAGATTGGTCGCATTTCTGAATTTGATGTCTCACACCCAGAGAGATGGGAGTCCTATGTTGCAAGGGTAGAGAACTACTTCAGGATAAACCAGGTCAGAGAATATGGCTTGAAGGCTGCAACCCTGTTGTGTGTCTGTGGTCAGGACGCGTTTGAAATTGTGGAATATCTGGTGGCCCCTGCTCCTCTGGAGTCTGTAACATATACAGATCTAAAGAAGCTATTGAAAGAACATTTCCAGCCCAAGTTGTCTGTTATTGCGTGGAGACACACATTTGAACAAAGGGACCAGAGGGCAGGCGAATTGGCTAAGGAGTTTATTGTGGCCTTGAGGCAAGCAGCCAGACCATGTGAGTTCAAAGATCTGGAAGAAAGGCTGAGAGATTGTTTTGTATGCAGTTTAAGGAACAGAGACTTACAGCAGAAGATCTTTGCAAAGGAAGATATTTCATTCCAAGATGCTCTTAGAGAGGTGACCGCTGAGGAAGCAGCAGGCGGGGCAGTCAAGAATTTGCCGCCCATCAGAAGCAATCCGGAGGCAGCCACTGTTCACCATGAGGGCATCCAAGAAGGATCGGAAGAAGATCTTGAGGAAGAGGTGGATCGGCTTTACCAGGCAGCAAAAAGAAGGCAGAAGGAAGGGAAAGAAAAGGCCCCAGCAGCACCCAAATGCTTTGGGTGTGGAGGACACCATAAGAGAGCCGACTGCAGGTTCCATTCTGCCATCTGCAGAGCGTGTGGCAGGCAAGGCCACATAGCATCCATCTGTCTGGGTCACCAAAAGGTACAACCTTGAGAAGATCTGCATCTGAAAGGTACCAGGGTCCCCAGCCAAAATAGGGTGGGTTTCTGCGCATCGCGCAGGACTTTGCAGGACAGGCACACACAAACCCCTAAAGAAGAAACTGTCACTTAAGGTTAGATTGCAAGGGGTTCCTTTATCTATAGAGTTGGACACTGGGTCCGCTCTTTCCATTATTTCCCTTAATACATTTAGAAAGATTTGCAACAGCAGTGGCTTTCAAGCCAAACTTAGGTCATCCAACATAATATTAACAGATTTTCAAAATTCCAAGGTGTGCGTTAAGGGGGGGCACCCTTACGGTGCAACATAAGGAGTTTGAAGGTCCATTAGATGTGTTGGTTGATGGGGGTGAATGCACAAGTCTTATAGGACTCAATTGGTTTGAGGCCTTGGTAATCCAGGTTACTGGGCTGCACCATTTGCAAATGTTGGGCCTAGCAGAAGTCTGCGAGGAGTTTGCAGATATGTTTAGTCCAAAGCTTGGGTCCTACAGGGGCTTCCAGTTTCATTAAGATTAGACCGAACCATCACACACATCAGAGTTTAGGCTAGGAGGGTACCCTTCGCCCTCAAGGGCAAGATTGATGCTGAAGTGGATAAATTGCTCCAGCAAGGCATTTTAGAACCT